AGAAACAGACTAATATTAGCGTAGATGCCATTCTTCTAACGATGTAGCAAGTACATCGGGTGTTATGGGAAGTGTTCCCAGTTCCGGTTGTCCTATTTAATGCAGCCTAAAAATCCTTTAACGGATTTAAATATTAGAAATGTGCTAGTGTGTTATGTGTAAACCAGGTTAAAGAGATGTGTCTTTAATCTAGATTTAAACTGACAGAGTGTGTCTGACTCCCGATCAATGTTAGGTAGGTTATTCCAGAGTTTGGGTGCTAAATAGGAAAAGGATCTGCCACCGTATCTGGCAGTTGATTTTGATATTCTAGGCATTATCAAATTGCCAGAGTTTTGAGAACGCAGCGGACGTGGAGGACTAGAATGCAATAAGAGCTCGTTCAAATACTGAGGTGCTAAACCACTCGGGGCTTTATAAGTAATAAGCAAGATTTTAAAATCTATACGATGTCATAGCTGGGAGCCAGTGCAGTGTTGACAGAACCGGGCTAATATGGTCATACTTCCTGGTTCTAGTAAGAACTCTAGCTGCTGCATTTTGGACCAGCTGGAGTTTGTTTATTAAGCATGCAGAACAACCACCCAATAAAGCATTACAATAATCTAACCTTGAGAAAAAATGCATTTTTACAAATGCTAGAAACATGGCTTTCAAAGGAAAGATTGCTATCAAATAGCACACCTAGGTTCCTAACTGATGACAAAGAATTGACAGAGCAGCCATCAAGTAGCCATTTAGTGATGTTCTTCCTGTTAAAGAGACATAAAGAAATAGTGTAAGCTGGTTTGCTGATCTCCCTGCCTAGTTTACTGGTTTTAGAGGTGTTTTGGGCACAATCTTAAAGGGTGGATGTAACAACATAACAGGGTTGAACAGAAGTACAGAGACAAAGCCATAATATACACAAAGCTTTCGGTTCTTTATTTAAGTACAATATAGTTGAAGACACCTAATGCCATGTTCACACAGCAGCAGAATATGGTTGTCGGTCCTGTATTTGAGTCATCAATATGGTTGCATTCATACACAATTAATTTATTTACAGAATTGACAACTGCATTCTGTAACCAAACTCACACCCATAAAGTTTAAGGACTTACAACCATATTTTCGGCAAAGCCCTGCTATGTGAAGGGAACTGTATGAACAACTAGTTGTCTGTCGTGTCACACAGCAGCCTCAAATGTGCCAAGACTTAAAAAGAGGTCCGTTTTGTGTTGACATTTAAAGCTGCATGAGAAGTAATGCTCCTATAACTATATTTTGAAATAACTGAACATAACTTGAGTCATGTTTTTCTGTATCAAGTCCTATGCAACCATTGTAAAATGAACAACAGTTTCAGTTGTTGGATTTCTTTATAAATTTGGCTTCTTTATAAATGTGGCCCCATGCTCAGTTTCTGTAAACACTGCTACTTTTACATCTGAAATATTATTGGTTTATTTTCAAATAGTTGTGTTAACACTCCTGTTATTATTTCAGTCCAGGTTCAGTCACATTCCCTAACATGTTGGAACAGAAAACTCAGAATGATGGCAGAGACGAAATCAGGTGTTTCCAGTTTCAACTGACAGCTCAGGGTTCTTATTGACAGCTTGCTGAGGGGAATAATGTCTTACAATCCCAAAATCTTATCTCTGTTATCATCTTTAGGTGCATGTTTCTAGGTCTGGTTTTGCAGTGTAAGTAATGCAGCCATCATAACTACAGATGCTGTTCATCATCAGCTTTTATAGAAATTTTCCTGAGTATCTATTTACATTCCTTCCATCCGTCCTTCCCTCCGTCCCTCCCTCTTTTGCTCATTCTCACAAGGCTTCATATTTATTTGTTTCTTGCCTTCTCTGTCCTGATTATTCATTTTGTATTATGTCTTGAGTTTGGTGCTAGCGTTTGAACACATGGCATGTGATGGCTATTACACCGTCCTCATTATTCCTCTCCAGAACAGCCTCTACAGCCCTGACGCACTGCACTGCTTCCACTGGGTAAGAGATTGTCTACTGTGTGTAATTTTGGAGGAAAATGTTCCTCACATGGGATAGGACAATTTGGATCAGGACAGATTTGTCTATAGTGATGAAACTTAAAAAGTAGTATTTGTGAGGACATGCCTCAAAAAAAACAAAACAAAACAAAACAAAAAACAAGAATCTTAAAGTTTGGTTTAATATTTATATTTAAATGCTTGCCAAGGCATTTGTCAGTTGTTGCTAGGCAAGTGCTAGATGGTTGCTGAGGTCTTCTGGCTGCTAAGGCATTGCTAAAGTAATAAGTGAGTCCCAAATCACGTACATGTGCACTATTCAATGCCGTTTTGTAGTATAAATAGTGCAAGTAGTGTGTTCACACTGAAAATTCGAGAGAGAGAAAAAGTGCACTTTAAATACCTGGTGATGCACTGAAAAAATGAAGTGTGGAATTTTGGACTCTCTATGCACCCAACTGTCGCAGCCATTAATTACATAGTGGAGGGAGGACTATCAGTCTCCGATTATGAATGACAAAATAATCTTATATACACAACTGTGCAAAAGTCTTAGGCCATTATTATTTTCACCAAAAAAGGTTATAAGTCAGTTATTTCTATCTTTTGCTGTAGTGTGTCAGTAGAAAATATAAGTTTACATTTCCAAACATCCCTTTTGCCAATAATTGTAATAATCCAGTGAGATTTTGTATGCACAAGGAGTCTGACAACAGCTACTGTGCTAGATGGTTGCTGAGGTCTTCTGGCTGCTAGGGCATTGTTAAAGTAATAAGCGAGTCCCAAATCACGTACTTGTGTTCAATGCCATTTTGTAGTATAAATAGTGCAAGAAGTGTGCTCACACTGAAATTTAGAAGAAAAAGAAAAAAAGTGCACTTTAAATACCCTGGTGATGCACTGAAAAATGAAGTGTGGAACTTTGGACTCTCTACGCACCCAATTAATTACATAGTGGAGGGAGGACTATCAGACTCTGATTATGAATGACAAAATAATATACACTACTGTGCAAAAGTCTTATTATTTTCACCAAAAAAGGTTTTAAGTCAGTTATTTCTATCTTTTGCTGTAGTGTGTAGGAAATATCAGTTTACATTTCCAAACATTAATTTTGCCATTAATTGTAATAATCCAGTGAGATTTTTTTATGCACAAGGAGTATGACAACAGCTAGTGTGCTCCACACTGATCCCACGGACATTGTCAAGTCCATCTGGAATGACATGAAGAAACAGAAGAAACTAAGACAGATTACATCCAGAAGAACTGTGGCAACATCTCCAAGACACATTAAGAAAATTACCTGCAAAGTTGCAGTACTGTTAAAAGTTTTAGACACTTGTGTTAAAGTTAAAGTTCTTCTGGATTTAGTATATCTCAGTTTGTTCTGTTTCTTTATGTCATTCCAGACAAACTGGATGGTGATGAGATCAGATCTCTGTGTGGAGCACTGGCTGTTGTAAGACTCCTTGTGCAAACAGAATGTTTGGAAATGTAAACTGATATTTTCCACTGACACACTACAGCAAAAGATAGAAATAACTGGCTTAAAAACTTTTTTTGTTGTTGTTGTTGGTGAAAATAATAATGGCCTAAGACTTTTGCACAGTAATGTAATTCATACACTGCTCGGATGAGTACATAGTATATAGTGCTTCATTTGGGATCATGCAATGATTGCCAAGGCAGTTTGGGTGGCTGATCTCCAATAGCATAGTAAATGAGACACAAATAAGATTTTTTTTCTTATCAAAACATTTGTTTTACACAATAGTTACTTGCGTAATTTCTGTAGGGGGAGCAACACTTCTGTTAATCGGCCAAACAGGTTATCGACCAATGCCAGTAATCTCAAAATGGACAAATATCATCTGATTAATCTGTCTTTCACGATATGCTTCAGCCGTAATGCTTAATTCTGACATTTTTAATGTGCCAAAACACAAAGTTATTATGTAGTTTGGGGTTTCAATGTTTATGATAAATTAATGTTTCTTTTAGCTAAAGAGACGTAGAGATCTGGAAAGACAAAAAGACGTCCTGTGGGCTGGACTGCAGGTTGTGGAACAAACACAGCTGTGGTACCAGAATCGCCTGAAGCTGAATTTACAAAGGCAAGTTAGTTTCAGCACAGGAGACTTGGATGGAGAGGTATGTACCTTCACAAATCACACCTGAGTAATGCTGCTGTCACATAAAAGCAAGGGTATACAACTGAAGTATAAGGAGGCCTGTTCCTGCAGACTTCAATTCAATACCTGCACATTTTAACTTAATTCAAAACTTTTCATCTTTCAATGAGCTGATGATCTAATCAGGGTTGTTAAATAAGGTACACATACAAAATGTACAGTACTATAGATGCCTAAACCAGGAATGAAAACCACTGGCCTACAACCAATGTTAAAACAGGTTAGTGCCAGAGCCCTCCAAAAAATATAACCAGCGTAACTGATATCTACTATGAAATAAGGATTCCCTTTCATGGGAACTTCGAACTGCGTCCTCTAGGGGTCGCTATGGGGAACGCCTCGTCGTGACCCGTGTCTGAAGCATACATTGAAAAAACACCAACTCTACTCAGGGAACCATGGTTACATAAGTAACCTGAGACGGTTTTTTGTGTGCAATTTTGCTTACGAAACTTTATTAACATACTATCAATGAAGAAAAATTTATTTTACCAAAATAATGGTGTCAAAATGACATCGACCAGAGACCTGATCCTTCATCCCGGACGAGCCCTCCTCTAACTTTGGGGAAGTCGTGGCCTAATGGTTAGAGAGTCGGACTCATAACCCAAAGGTTGCGGGTTCGGGTCTCTTACTGGCAGGGATTGTAGGTGGGGGGAGTGAATGTACAGCGCTCTCTCCCACCTTCAATACCACGACTGAGGTGCCCTTGAGCAAGGCACCGAACCCCCAACTGCTCCCTGGGCGCCGCAGCAAAAAATGGCTGCCCACTGCTCCGGGTGTGTGTTCACGGTGTGTGTGTGTGTTCACTGCTGTGTGTGTGCACTTAGGATGGGTTAAATGCAGAGCACTAATTCCGAGTATGGGTCACCATACTTGGCCACATGTCACGTCACTTTATCTGTTTGTCAGAGGATCATCCCAACTTGGTAGCACAGGTATCACAATTATTTCTGAAATTCCTTGTTGTACGCATGTGAAAACAAGTTATACATGAGCCAAAAATGGTAAAATTAATTTACTCACCATCAAGTTGTTCCAAACCTGTATACATTTCTTTCTTCGGCTGAACACAAAAGAAGTTAATTTGAAGAATGTTGGTAACCAAACAGTTGCTGGTGCCTATTGACTTCCATAGTATGAAAAAATGAAAGTCGGTGCCTACCAACATTCTTCAAAATATTTTCTTTGTGTTCACCAGAAGAAAGAAACTTGGAACAACTTTTTCGTTTTTGGGTCAACTATACAGTTAAATGCCAAACCTAAAAAGGATAGTTCACCCAAAAATTAAAATTCTGACATTAATTACTCACCCTCATGTTGTTCCAAACTCGTAAGACCTTCTGTAAGTTCATCTTTGGTACACAAATTAAGATATTTTTGATGAAATCAGAGAGCTTTCTGACCCTGCATAGACAGCAACAGAACTGAAGGCCCAGAAGCGTAGTAAGGACATTGATAATATAGTCCAGGGGTGTCCAAACTACGGCCCGCGGGCCAAATGCGGCCCGTGGATGAATGTTAAGCGGCCCGCAGCTGTCTTAATAGTCTATATTATATATGGCCCGCCAAGCATAATTTACAAAATAGGCCTATGCAGTTTCAAAATGTAATCCGGCCCCCTTTAGGAAAAGTTTGGACACCCCTGATATAGTCCATGTTATGAACGTAGTATCTACGAGAATATTTTTGTGCAAAAAGAAAACAAAAATAACGACTATTCAACAATTTCTTCTCTTCCGTGTCATTCTCCGCCGAGCGTTCACAACAGCACCACGACGCATGCGTGTGCTTTCCTCTGATTGAAAACAAGGCACAGCGCATCCTGGTTCTACGTCAGAACACTGGCTCCTGCATCAGCAGCACCGTGGTGCATGCGTCGTGGTATTCTCATAGCTTCATAACATTACAGTTGAACCTCTGATATCACATGGACTATTTTAATGATGTCCTTACTACCTTTCTAAGCCTTGAACATTTCAGTTGCGTTGCTGTCTATGCAGGGTCAGAAAGCTCTTGGATTTTTGTTACGAAGTTAAACGAAGGTCTTAGGTTTGGAATGACATGAGGATGAGTAATTAATGACAGAATTTTAATTTTTGAGTGAACTATCCCTTTTGATCCTGAAGTCCTTGGTTAGCTTGGTCACGTGTGTTTGATTAAGGTTATACTGTAGCTAAAGTCTGCAGAAAGGTTGGTCTACAAAAGCAGGATTAAGTAAACTTGGTGTACTTATACAGACTTTTCAAAGTGAGGATATGAGGAATGGAGGTACAGTTTGTTCAATATGTTGTACTGTTATTTACATGTGTCTCATTGGTTCAGCTGGTGAAACATTGGCTTTCCTATCTGTACTTTATTTTATTTGTTTCTTTTACATTTTTGTCCTAAGAAATTTGTAAATTACCTGTACCTTACAGGGCAGGTGGTCCTGCGCTATGCGGTCTTGTATGCAGCGTGTGAATGGCAGTCTGGGTAATCTGATTAGTGACTCCTGTGTCTGGAACAATCTGGCCCCAGAGGAGAGTGGAGGATCGGACTGGGACCTCCGGTGGAGCAATGCCACATTGGTCAAGGTTATGATCAGTAATAATAATAGTATTCTTATTGTTTTTGTTTCTGTTGCACAGTCCTATTTATTATCAACATAACAAGCACTGTGTGGATTTCATATACAGGAAGTGAATCAGCAGAATCAACAGATTTCCATGTTGGAGCTTGAGAAGGCACAACTTCTTCAGCAGCTGGTGTTTTACAGCACACCTGATTGATGACATCCGCACATTTTCAACTTTAATTACAAAAGGGTTTAATTCAAATCACACAGTTAACGGTAAATAGTTAAAAATGCTTTGAAAAGACTGAATGTTAAAATTAATTTAAGCTCTGGTATACACCCAGTCCACCCTGTCTTCCATTATTTAACTGAAAGAGAATTACAGATATAATGTTTAATAGTTGTTGTTGTTGTTTTTTTCTTCTTAAAATATTTGTTTATCTGACTTGTTAGTAGTGATTCAAATGCCTACATTTATACAAAACAGGTTTTGAAGTATACAAGTATAATTGAACAATGAAAATTCTATATTACGGATAAAATTAGTATTGCAAAATCACTTGTATTAGTTTTGATTTACATATAAACATTTAAAGAGGGGTACATATTTATATTGCTTGTCATTATATTACTATGTATTTTAAAAAAATAAATATATTTTAAAAACTTTAACCAGCTGCACCGAAAATGTCACAATCAGATTTAGTTTCGGTTTAGTTTTTAGGGACTATTAGTTTGTATTTGTTGTTTTCATGTGTTTCCTTTCTTTTTCTAGTGTTCCGAACACTACTTTGTTTTCAACTGTTACAGTTGTTATTGATTATGTTGTGCACCTGTTTTTTGTTGAGTTCCTCATTATCTATGGAAAGGCCCTGGAATGTGGGGAATGGGCACTTCCACAGTCAGGGGGATCCGATCAGACACAGAGATCTGGTCCTGATCGGGTGGATCAGAGCTTGCAGATATTCCAAACTGGCTGAAAATTTAACATAACAGCTTCAATAAGTAAAGACATCACCAAACAGAGGAAAGTAAGGGCATATATATGCAGGATAATGAAGAACCCAACAAGAAATAGGTCACAACAGAATCAACAACTATGGAAACAAACAAATGTTTCCTTCCTGCTTCTTGTGTTCTGATCACATGAAAATAAGGAATACAAACTAACAGTCCATGAAAACAAAACCGAAACTAACTCTGATTGTGACAATTTCAGTGCAGCTGGTTGAATTTTTAAAAATATGTTTATATTTTCCAAAAACAATATAATGACAAGCAATATAAACATTTACTCCCTCATTTTAAATGTTCACAAAACACTGCTAACAATATAATATCTGTTCAGTTGGTGGTCTTTACAAGATCAGGACTATTAAATCTAATGATAATTAAATCTATTAAATCTAATCTGTATTAGATCAATGACTAATACAAGTGATTTTGCAATAGCCAGAGCCTATGCCCTCCATGGACCCTCCACTGACGGAGAAGGTTGTCCCAGAGCTAGAGCATGTAGCCCTATTTATTTTGAACTGTGTCTGTCCTGGAGGGAATATTGTTTAAGTTAGACTTCCTGGAGTGGAGTCCCACTCATGCTCCCACCTCTGAGGCATGTTTGCCTTTGCCGGTCCTGTCAGGATTCATTTACTTGCTAGTCCATAACTGTTCCCAAGCACTCCCCCTCCACTGGTTTCTTCCAGTAGCCATTCTCCTTCTCTTCTGGTCCCACCCAGCTTCCAAGCTCCTCCTCCTTTGCCACTGGTCACACCTAGCCTCCAATCTTCTTCGCTGCTGTCTCCACCTGGCTCCTGGCTCTGCCCCCTTCACTAGCTCTGCCCATTGGGCTGAGTCGCCAGCTCTTCTTAGCCCTCCAGCACCACCAGAATGACCACAGTCTTCTGGCTTGGAGCTTGTACAGTAATCAAACCATGGTCAAAGGACCCAGAGCCTTGTGACCATTTGGTTTGGCTAGCTTTCATAGACTTTTAGTTTGTATTCCTTGTTTTAATGTGTTTCCTATCCCTTTCATGTTCTGTTCACTATTATCCATAGTTACTGATTGTTGTACACCTGTTTCTTGTTGAATTCCTCATTATTCTGTGTATATATGCCCTTTACTCACTTCTTGTTTTACCCATTTTTAAGCAGATATGTTTCTTCATCATTTTTGTTATTAAACTGCTAAGAGCTGCATCTAGGTCCATATCTTTTCCATCTGCCTCACCCTAACAGAAATCTGAAATTACATTAAAAATAAAGAACAAAAGTGGCATTAATTAAAGACAACTGTATATATTGCACAAAATAAGAGATTTTATATTTTATTTATTTGAATATTTAAATCCAGACCGAAATCAGTGACAGTGTATTTAAAACATACTATTAATTCAAAAGCTACAGAAATGAATGATGATATATGCACCTAACAAATGTAACATTTAAATACAGGCTTTAATAGTTAAAATGCATTTTATTACTGTAATGTGTCATTTCAAATGTAATGCTGTTTCAGTGGTAATGCATTTGTATGAAATTCTAAAACCACAAGCCCATTCTAAACCCCACTTTTAAACGAAAACTCTTTTCACAGTTTTCACCAACTGTGCATACTAACATAAATAACATACAGTAAGCAACATAATCTGTATAATTAAATAGATAAATTAACATTGTAACCTAAAACAGATAAATGTCCTTTTTCATTTTTTTCTGTATTAGTGGCACTTTTTGAATTTGTGCTTTTGAAATTATTATTATTATTAAATATTTTAAAGAAAAAATATCAGTTTTCATATTATTATTATTATTATTATTATTATTACTACTAAATCAACCCACCTTTAAATTTGATTCAAAACCGAAATGGAATTGCGTCAATCTACTGTAGACCACAGACCGTCCAGCAGAGAGCAGCAGAATATCATAGAAACAAATTAACGTACCTTACCAGCGGTGTTCTACTGAAAGCTATTCAGTTCTGCGTGATAGCAGCTTGCTCATTGGTTCGTAATGCATTACAGTATCCAAAATATTTCAATTTATCTTAATATGGACAACTCTTAACTGTAATTGTAAGCTGTATATTTTCAGGGATCCTGCTTCAGGTCTACACCAGGTAAATGTTTTGGTTCCCAAAGCCTGTTTTTAGCTTTTCCAATTGTAGTGTGGTCTGTAAAATAAAATGCCTGTATTTGATGCCATCTGACTCCCCAATTCTGATGCATCTCTGATCAATCTTTCCACTCCCTTGTAATCTTTTTTGATCTATGTTCACAAATTGCAAAAGCTCACTCTCCCTCCCTCCCTCTCTCCCTCCCTCTCAATTCAATTTTAAATTTAAATGAGCTTTATCGGCTTGCCTTGTACAGTATTGTAATGATTGTATAATCATTACATAAACGAAAACAAATTAATAAATGTATATGAATGCATAAATACTTTTTTTTATAAACAACAAGAAATAACACAATAAACTTTAAATAAATAAATAAATGTACATATTCAGACAGATGTTAAGATGTAACAATATTTCTGACACTAGTTTTGTCCACTGGCTGACTCTTTGTGTTTATGGCAGGGTGCTATATTTTACTGCTGGAGTTTTCTCCCAAAATATATCTTAATTTTTCTGGATTTGGTTGAGAAATATAATTTGGTGCATGGATCGATAGTGATCACAGTGCAGCAGGAAATTCAGTTTCCACAGGCACAGAAAGCACAGAAAACAGTCTCTGCTCTGGCGGCTGCCATCTCTGTGCCGTCCTCTCTTTTCTTTTCTTTTTTCCACTTTTTCTCACTTTTCACTTTTCTAGACAATCATCACTCAGTCTGTATTTGGTTAATGTCTTTCTCACTTTATGCTTTTTCACACAGCTCAGGTATTCTGGTTTGTAATCACTTTTCAGTTGTAAATAGAGTTTCATTTTCTTTTGTGGCTTTCTTTCCAAAAGGCAATGTACTGTAATTTTTTGTATTTGTATTTTTATAATTTGGTTGGGTGTTGGTTTGGATGGAGTTTCAGCACCAGCTGTGAAAGAGCACTGAGTTCTGCTCCTCACACTGCAGGGCAGTCATTTTAGGTGTTTATAGAATTCCAGAGCTCTTTTTTTTTGGATACTGATCACTAAAGGGTATTGTAAAGGGTATCTCTGTTTGGTACTGTTCTGTTTGGACATCTGATGTTTTTCAGAGTCAGTGGAAAAGTCTCTTTTATGTCCTAAGTTTTTATAACTGTGACCTTAACCGTAAGATACACCAAATACGCTCTTAAAAATAAGAACCTTTTTTGTCTAAATGGATCCATAAAGAACCTTTAACATATGAAGAATCGTTCTGTTACACAAACGGTTCTTTGTGGCGAAAGAAGGTTCTTCACATTATAAAAAGGTAAGAAAGAGATGGTTCTTTAAAGAACCTTTGACTGAATGGTTCTTTGTGGAACCAGAAATGGTTCTTCTATGGCATTGCTTTGAAGAACCTTTTAAGCACCTTTATTTTTAAGAGTGTAATTCATTGATTAGCGAATCAGTTAATATATGAATCAGTTATATTATTTGTTATTTGGCATATAAAATGAACCCAAAAACAAAAAGATTAATAATATATTTTTAAATGTATAAAACGTGGGGCTTTGGAGAATGAACACTAAATAAAACACGAACAAGCTTCATTTTGTTTTTAAGTTTTTTAAACATTGCTAAAGAACTAAATTTCTTAGTAGAAGAATAATTCTTTGTTCCCTTTCAGTCGGTCACTCCCGAGTCACGTCGGTGACCAACGAATTGGGATATCGCTTCGATAGACCAATCTACTTCGAGTGTAAACTAAACGAGCCAATGC